AAAAAAAACAACGATAATGATTAACGCCAAACTTCGGAATACCTTAACGAGCAAGGTAAAGAAAAAAAAAAAAGGAATATTAATAGAATTAATATTCTGAATGATAAAAAATCAAGAAAATTGCGGGAAAAAAGAATTCAATACATTCAATACTTTAAGATAAGTCTTACTATTTTTAGGAACTGCCAAACAAAAAAAAAAGAACAAAAACCCCCTTCAAATTTCTATCCCTCATTTCATATTTTTATATCCTCGTAATAAAATTGTTCTTTTTTGTCGTAATAAGTTTTGTCCTTCTTCTATTGAAACTTCGACCTCCTCAAATAACCTTTCTCCCCATTCTGGTACTTTCCCTTTTTTCTCTTCTCCATCTTCATTGCCTGCAGTTCCGTTCAATCGAGGATATTTATTCAAAATTGCTTCAAAAAGTTCGAGCTTTAGCTCTTCTTCGAGTGCCATTTGAAATTTGGCATTAATGCCATATAATGTGTACGTGTACTGATCTATCGCGTACTGAAGGCATGCCGAAGCGTAAAGCAAAGACTCGAAGAATGGTTTCATTATGTGGGTTTTTGAAATGTTGTTCCCGCTGGGTGCACGGTGATCTTTCAATACGGCGGCATCCGCAGCGGATGAGAAGTTATGAAAAGTAGTTGTCTGCTCGGTTGTTTCTTCGGTTTCGTGTCTTGCTACTTGTTCTCCCCCACTTCCAGGGCACAAAGAATATTCAACGCCATCGCCTCGTCCTCGGCACTGTTTCACCATCACCCAATTTCCTTCCTGTTCCTCCCTCAAAATAACGCTAGTTTCATCATTGTAAGCATTACTTTCTTTTTCTTGCCACTCTCTTCCAGTCAACTGCCAAGCTCCTCTCCTTAATTTTTCTACAATTGTACTTGCGACTTTATCCTCATCTCCGCATATTCGTATGCCCTCGTAGAGCATTTGGCGAGCTAAAATCATCCTTTGTACGCACCTTATAAACCACTCAACTCCATCTGAGTGAGCTGGTGCTGCATATGGTATTTTTGCCATGTTCTCGCGGAAAAGTCGCATCCTACCTTGCTGATCGTATTTACAATGGTGGGATAAAAAGTGTTGAATGGTAGTTGAATTTAAAATACCAAGGAAAAAATATGGTGGAAGTCTTGTGGTAGTTTTTACAGTAAAATAAATACACTAGTGTTATATAAGAGATAATTTAGCTTTTTTTTTTTTCCCCTCCCCATCAAAAAAAGGTACCGGATTAATGGAGAAGGTTTAACACACCTGATTAGTCACGCACACGTTGTCTTCGTCTATAAAGAACCGTTGGCGAGGCTATCATAAGATAAGGAAGAAAAAACAAATTTTTTTTTATTTTTAAGAAATTTTATCTATGAAATTTTTCATCTCGTGCTTCAAATATGTTATTTATTTTTAAGTAATTTAATAAATTCAACATGCTTACTTGGTTTTTCGAAAAATATCCATAATTAATAGGATGGATAATTTTAGTTTGTACATCAATCCTAGAATTTTAAGAAAAAAAATTAAAGTTTAATTTAAAAATAAAAATTGTTTAATTTGTAGCCAAATATAGTTTGTTTCCCACAAAAATTTCTACTGTTTATTTGTGCATGCTATTTTAAATATAAATATTAAAAGAAATACTAAAACTATAAAGTATATAGTAATTGAAGTTGTCTGATAGCATGTAACTAATACTTAATACAGCTAGCTATCAGGTATTAATAAAAAAGCCAACAATAATAATAAACATAACTTACCCGCATTTGCTTGTACCACAGTATACCACTTCTCTGGAAGTAAAACCTGTTTGTAAATACTTACGGGCTTCCTTCAAATACTTCCAGAATTCACTATTTTCACCAAATTCCCTTCTAACCTTATCAACAGCATCTCGATCGACCATTATTAACGAATACATCGATCTATCTTGTTCAAGTCCATCTTTTGCAATTGTCGTTCCTCCAGAATTATTCACAATAAAAGGTACATAAGCTTCAGCGGGTGAACTTTCTTTTTTTTCTAACCTCAGTTCATCTCCCATTTTCTGCCAAAATTCTGCCTCTTTTCCACCATTTTTTCCGTTCCAATAAAATACTGGACGCAACCAGCGTCTACACACTTCGGGACCAAATTTACTGTACGCCCAAGTTGTACGAACTACAAGAGCGTATACTGGATTTGTGTTAGGGCCTCTGTGCCAAATTAATGGATTATTTTCAACCCAGGTATGTTTCATGCTAGCATGGTCACATAGAGAAGGTAGATGAGCGGTAATGGAATGTAAATATGCACTCACTGCCGAAGAAGGCATTAAAAATGTGAATGAGTATGAATTTGTAGATGATGGAAGTTGTGTCATCGGATATGGAAGTGAGAGTTTATATTGCATATCCTTTTCATACTGGGCATTATTTGGGTCAAAATTAGAATAAGCTTGAAGTGTTTCATGAAGAGTTGCCTTACGATTCATATAACGTAGGAAAAGAATTGAAGATTCCGTTAAAACAGGTTGTATGGGAGGAACGCTAGTTGATAAAATTGGTTCGCTTCTACGACGAAGTCGAAATATTAAAGAATCTGTTTGGATTTTACGCCAAACTTTGAACGGTTCGAATTGGAAAAATTCGACCAAATGGCATTTTTGCCACATCCAAGCCCTATTATGTGTAAAAATAAGAATTTAAACCATTTAGAATATGTTAATATGATGTCCCTTTGACAATCGAAAGTGTGTGTTTATGTCATTATGAGAAAAGTTGTTGCATCAAATCCGAATTTGGCATCAACTTATTCTCGATTTCGTACTAAATATCATTTCTATTGCAATAAAAAAAAAAAATATACATATTTTTTTTTATTCATTACCTTAATTTGTCGGCAAATTCTAATCCCATCCATTGACTCGCTATTTTAATTGTAAAAGAATATAAATAAAACGAGTTTTTTAAATTTAGTAATTATTAAATGCATGGTAAACATTATCAATGAACACTTTTTAATATTAACATTGTTTCAGCGCATAATTTGATATTATCATCACAAACAAATGTGAAAATCTCTACCATAAAAACAAGTTTCAAAACAAGAAATGTATAATATCAAAACAAGTTTGTCAAACTTACCGCTGATAAGACAAACCTCTCCAATTTCTTCTCGGCATCTTTCGACACAGAACCAAAAGAAATATGCATAAGCTTGCATTCCACCTTTACCCAAAACTCTTTCATCGAAAAGCTCACTATCAGGTTCTGAAATAAATCCAGTCTTTCTAATCATATATGGGGGATTAGTGACGATAAAATCAAACTTAAGACGTTGGGGTGATCGCAATAACCATAAATTTTCATATTCCCATGTATGTTCTCGTTTCGGAAGATATAAATTTAAAGTGTCATTACAAAATAAGTGAAGTCTCGATAACTTAAGGTCATTTATGAGACTTGTAAGGTGAAGATAACGTTTATATAAAGGTAAGATATGCAAAGTAATATTTATCTTGCAGAGATGATATGCAAATGCATCTATTTCTATTCCCCAAAGGTTCACGGACAATGAATGAAGAAGATTGGAAATTGCCACTGAATTATTCCAAACAATAGGACATTGTTGAGCTGCAAGTATTAAACGGCTTATATATTCACAAAGAAACGAGCCTATTCCCATACAAGGATCTAGTACACTAGGAGCTTGAGGAAGAACTCCCCAATTAGAAGACGATTGATTTGGATATAAACTAGAATTTTGAAATGAACCTCCTAAAAGTTTTTCTATCCAAGTCCTATTTCCTTTTCCAATTAAAACACGATCCCACATGAATTGCATAACCTCCCTCGGGGTATAGAATTGACCATGATCTTTTTGTTGTTCTTTGGCCAATACATTAAGAAAGTGTTTCGTATACAATATTGATAATATTGATTCAATTGGCTCCAATGTAGTAAAATGGATATTTAGAGAATGAAATCTCACCGAAAGGTCACATTGGTATTGAGGCTGAGATCTTACGACCAAACGATAATACCAAGTGAAAGCTTCTAAATTTTCGCTTGCATTAGGCGGTTGATCATCAAATGGTATATTTCGCTTTAAAAAATTGTCATCATCATGAAAAATGTTCATGAATGTTTCTACACTTAATTGACGTATTGATATCTCCTCGTTATTCTCGCATAAAAAATCCATGACCACAGTATCAAATAACATATGAACTACGGTAATAAAAGATGTAATCTGACAATAAGAATTTAAAGCATTTTTAAATAATTCTATGTCAGGAGATAAGTAAGATGATTGAACTCTGGAAATAAAAGAACGAAATTCTTCAACGCATTTGATAAATGGAGTTTTGACATTATTCGGGTGTGAGTCATGAACGAGTTTATTAAATTCGCGAAGAAAGCTTGCTGGGATTAAATGGTCTAATTTGGAAAGATTTGAAGTATGTAAAAGAATTGAATTAATAGATATTAGGGACGTACCACCAAATTTGGAATTGATGCATTGACAAATCAAATTAAACAACTAATAACATATAAAACAGGATCATCTTCCTCGAAATTCTTTAAAACAACTCATTAAATTCTCACTACTTTTAAATAATCCTATTCTATTTTTTTTTTTTTTCTTACCTTTATTAATTATTGTTATCCAAATATCTTTTTTAACTTCCTCTAATAAAATACCTAACACTTCTACCACTTTTCCTACTAAATCTTCTGAAAGAAAGTTTGTTGAGAAAGATGACAAATTTGAGGAAAATTCTTGTCTCCTTTGTGAGTTGGATTCAGCTCCGTTGACAAGATTTTGAGCGGGGTTGACTGACTTGAATATGAAGGGAGTGTTGAACGTAATTTCAGAATTTTGAGGTTTATGTCGCGACACGTGAGAATCTTGAAAGAAGCAATTCCAAGTATCAATTCTTGGATCCACTTCAACTTCGTTAAGAACAACGCTAAGCCAATCGTCACTCTGTGAAGATACCTCGTCCGAAGACTTTAGTCTCTTTGGCGGAGGGGCGACGGTTTGCGTATTATCGTTTGCATTCGACATTTTTCTAAAAAATGACTTATAAGTGTGTATGTATTCTATATATGTTTCGAAAATGATGATCTTCCTAAAGGAAGGTGAAGTCTATTTGTGATGAGATTTTGAAAAGCCACCGCCTTTGTGCATATTCAGAACCGCCTTTCAATACTTCGCAAAATTGGAAGAATACGGTCTTTTTATACACGAAGTCCGCCTTCCAACTACTTTGGCCTACTCAGAGCCACAAGCGTATTATTTTAGCGATTTCTTTGGTGGAACAGCAAAGCACACAACGAATGGCGAAGAAGTAGTGGTAAGCATTGTTTTGCGTTTTATTATTTTTGATTTCTAAAACTAGTGTCGTCACAAAAAAAGCTTTATTTATTAGCACGTGATCTAAAACTTTCGGTCTGAAATAGTGGGGTATAAACCCCGATATTCTCCATCAAACCCCATTTTAACCCGTTTATAAACCTGTTTTAATAGAATGTTATATTCAACAGATCTTGTTTGCAGATACGTTGTGCCAAGTAAACTGCATAATAATAGAATAGAAAAGATCTTCGACGTCCAAATGAAAGGATTGTACAAAACTTTAATGTGGCGAAGCGGGAACCTAGTAAATTCTATGTTTTTTTGGCGAAGAATTTTTTATCTGTTTTATTTGGAGGGAAACAAGCCGAGTGCAAGGGTAATTAATTTATTTATGATAATCTTATTTCATATGTATATTATAGTATGGAAAACATGAATTCTCAAATGAATTTTTGATTGAAAATCTTGTTTTAAATAGCAACTGCATCGACGAAACAGAAATGCATTTGATTTTTAATTAAAACATAATATATGTATACCTACCCCATTACCTGTTTTGACAATACTATAATATTATTTATATTATATTTTATAATATTATTAATAATAAATTCTTTTATAATAAGTAATTTAGACGGACGCGCTTTCCCAGAGAAATTTTTTTTTTTTCTTCGAATAACGAATAACACTCGCGGTCTATAATAAGGAGGTGCTTTCTAAAAAAAAAAAAAAAAAAATTTCAACAAAAGGGTGAGATATAAAGATGGATGCATTAATATAATTCATTTAATGACATAATCATAATTTTGCTAAGCCAAGATAATACTAATGAACTTCCATAATTAATTTTGTATTCATTAGATGTTTACGTTTTTCGTACAAAGTTTTCTGCGAGAAAAAAAAACAGAGCTGAATAAGTGATTGATCGACCAAGAAATTCACGTCCATAATGCACAACCTGTTCGTTGATAAAAATTTTTTTTTTTTTTTTTTTTTTTTCCTTTTAAAATATATATTTATATATATTTATTCTAAAACTTGCGTTCGATTACATCATAATATAGTTCAAAAGAGGAAACATCCGTGAAACGCCCTTTGATAACGCAATCTAACAAATGGAAGAAATGGAAGGAAAAGTCCTTATGACCTGTTGCATCTAAGGAAAAAAAAAAATAAATAAAATAATTCACAATGAACTTTATTTTATAATTTATACATTAATAATAATATATATTGTAAGTAAAAGCTCATTCTTGTCCACTCTTGTCAAAAACGGAATTATTATCATTAATATCTTTCATTCACAAGATAATCCAACACAAATATGGTACTAACAGGTAACTCAAATCAACAATCGCGAAACCTTTTTCTAGTTTTTATCAGTTTTTATCACTTATTATCGTGTATGATTCCGGTAGAGTTGGTAACATTACTTACTATTATTTAATCCCCCATATTTTGAACCCTAATTCCACGTTCGGGACCGCATGTACGGGAGCAAAAGAAAGATTGGGCATTTCTTTATCAGGTCATATATTTTGTATTATTTAACAATCCATTGAATCTTAATATTATTACCATGTTTGACTCTTGTCATATGGGTTTGTGATGTGTTAAAAATGTTTGTGACATATATGTGACTATAATTGTTTTCGTGAATCGTTCCCGGTGATCCATTTTATTAGTCAAATTTCGTCCTGAAACGCGGAAAAATCTAATACATCTATTACGCCACAGAAATTTTTTTTAAGGATCTAAACCCAATCTAGGTAGAATTATAATAGTAAATTAACCGGATTGAGCAGTATATTATAAAGTAATCCCTGTAGTTTCGCGTTTTTTTATCACAGTTTCACAATTGCTTGGCGATCAAAGTAAAAGAAACTCTTTGTGTGCGTCCTTTAAAAAAAGAATTTTGAAATTTAAAGTTTAAGATTATCTCTTTATACCATTTTTTTTGTCTTTAAATTGTAAGCACATCTCTGCATAATATAAATCTTAAATAAAGAAATAATCATGACTATATCGACTATATCAATTTCATTGTCACGGGAAGTACTAAAAAAAAAGGTTTTACTGCGGATGATTGAAAGATTGAACTAATTTTTTTGTCATTTTTTGCCAAAAAAAAAAAAAAAAAAAAAAATTGTGAAGGTAATATATTTTTTCCCCATTTTTCACACCCCCTAACGCCCATTGAAATTTTTTTAAAAAAATGTCTTTCCCACCCCCGAAATACAACATATGATGGTAAGCAAGCTTACAAAATCCTTTATTACTTTCAAATATTAAGCCCAAATTATTATTATTTTTATTATTTCGCATAACTTAAAAGATAGCTGTCAAGATAATTAAATAAGTCATACCCCACATTTCAAATATTATATAACTTACCTTTAATGGCAACTTGGTATATTTTTTATGTAAGCACGTTGAAAAAGAAATATCTCCGTTTTGAACTTCAAAATACTTTGTTTCTATGATTACATAGAACAATATCTTGCTATAATACTTTGTTTCTGTTTTTTTTTTATGTGAATTATAGTAACAAATAATTTATTATCTTATCATAACAAAAAAAAAAAATTTTTTTTACGCGTGATACATCAAATTTATTACAAGGCTTTTCGGTTTACTATAAGATTTTATTTTATGGGGAGAGGGGCTTGTCCCCAATTCTAATAAATTTACATTCTTTAACCAATCTTACCATTCTTTCTATTTGCATTTTCCATTTGTGGCTAACCAAATCTTCTTACATCTCTAAGAAAGCAATCTTTTCTTTCGCTTTGTTTTTATACTTAAAAAAGGTAGTTGTACATTAAATCTTTCCTAATGTATTTGTGGAAAGTTTTCCCCGATGAAAGAAAAGTATCGCGCGTCTTTCTATGAGGAGAATTTTAGACAAGGAAATTAAACAGGTTTGTTTGATTGTTTTCCTCGTGTGGTAATGAATTTCCATCAGAGATTGTTTGTGATTCCATATCTGAAGATTGTACCTGAGAAGTAATTAATGGTCGTGCTTCTGTTACTATTTGGTTCACACATCCCGTGTTCTGAAGCCCAGGGGTACGGATTTTTCTCGAGGTATCTGCGTTGTATATCTTATCAAATAAAGTTATAAAATTGCATTGTTTCTAAATAAATTAATATAAAATGTTAACCCTTGAATTACTATTTGTAACCCTTTTTTTCGAAGTAATCTTTTCATTCCAGCTTCAATCACGCAATTCATTGGTTTTGCGTTTTCACGAGTTGGAAACGAGATTGGTGAATATTACTCGATAAGCCGTTTAGAAGATGGTGGTACTGAAAAAAAAAAAAAAAGATAATCCTCATACATTTAGCGAAATTTGTATACACTACAAAAAAGCAAAGGTATTATTAAATGTTTAGATCGTGTTCTTATAGTGTGTCCATAAAGGGATGGATAATATAGACCATCTTTTAAAATTCTCATTAACTCTATGGCAATTTTCTTACAAATTGTTATTTTTAGAACTATTAGATATCGCGTGAGAAGTAAAAAAAAAAGCCGTCTGGCGTTTGGGGATAAATAATTAATTTGCATCCACTTTGATATATGGGATTTTGTATTGTGAAACGTCGTTATACTGCGGTTCTAAATGATATTAATAAATCAAGTAAATTCAAAGTCTTTGTTGTCTTACCAAAATTAATTTAGATTCACTTTCCATATTTAATATAATAATTGTTATATCGTGCAAAACACCTTTAAAGCATTGGCAAAATTTGTATATGATCTTCAAAAAAAAAGGCAGGAAAGTACTAAGAAATTTGTTTATTGATATATTTGTCATCATTTTCCATTTTTCGAATTAATAAGACTATTTTCGAAACTATATATAATTCTAATTTTCTAATTATTTTTATTGATTGATTGCTTTACAAATCATAATTTTCGTATTTTATGATTTGTTACTTTTAATTTATCATTTATAATCAGATTTGTGAAAAATTAAATCCTTTTGATTTGTAATTTCTCTAAAAAGAAAAGGAATTTCCGATACATGATTCCGATATATGGATATATGATTTGAGATTTAGGAATCGATCGGATTATATACATATCGGCGATTATTGCCCCAAATGTTATTTAACGTAAAAAGCCATTAAAATATAATAATGTATATTAATTAATTTGCATCATTATCATCTTGTCTTATGTAGGAAAGTGAAATACAATAAGTATGGCACGTGCCAAAAAGAACCAGATTAACCAGATTTATGTAGTACAATTTCTAAATAAAGGTGCCAGCACGTGATGATTTGCAATACTAATTTTGATTCGTACATCTCATCTGATTTTTTTTATTCCGTCTAAATTATTTTTTCTCATGGATCAATTCGTTTTGCCAGATAATCAATTACTTGGTAAAGAGCAAGTTGAAACAGAAGATTTACCAGTTATTTCGCAACGAATTCAAGATATAATAGAAGTGCTTAATAATTTTAAAGAGCTAGGAGATCATGAAAGGTTGATTTCATATTTCGTAAACGTTTTTTACTTTTTTACTTTGATTTTAAATTATATTGATGTTAGCTTTTTCGTGAATTTTTCAGAGGAAGATCTGCTTATGTCGAACAACTTATTAAAGATATGGCAGTATACTATGGATATTCGGAGTATTTGTTAGAAAAACTTTTTAATTTATTTTCTGTATCTGAGGTTTAAAATTTTCCTTACGTTTATTTTTTATTTTATTTTATTTTTTTAAAAAAAAGTTAAATGCCATCACCTAATTCTAATGAATAGATTCAACATTTTTTAGGCTTTGGAATTTTTTGAAGCAAATGAAGTTCCAAGACCAGTCACAATACGAACAAATACATTGCGAACACGTCGAAGGGATTTAGCCCAAGTATTTAAATTAACATCTTTTTAATGTTTGTTTTTGATTAAATATTTAGCATTTTAAATTTATTAATAGGCCTTAATAAATCGTGGAGTAAATTTGGAACCAATTGGAAAATGGACGAAGGTCGGATTGACAATATTTGATTCAACAGTTCCAGTAGGCATGTTTATTTTAATTTTTGTATGATTAAGCCAAAATATATGTAATATCAATTAATATTAATCCGTTATTTTAGGAGCTACACCAGAATATCTTGCTGGCCATTACATATTACAGTCTGCGTCGTCTTTTTTACCCGTTATGGCATTGGCGCCTCAAGAAAATGAAAAGATACTAGACATGGCATCTGCGCCTGGTGGAAAGTCCACATATATTGCAGCATTAATGAAAAATACTGGTATAATATTTGCTAACGATTCAAACAAGGAGAGAACTAAAGGTCTTGTATCCAATATACATCGATTAGGTATTAAAAATACCGTAGTTTGCAACTATGATGGACGCGAGTTTCCTACTGTACTTGGAGGATTTGACAGGGTTCTTTTGGATGCTCCTTGCAGTGGAACTGGCGTTATATCAAAAGATCCATCTGTCAAAATAAATAAGGTAAAAATATTTATATAATTTTGCTTTAGTTTGCGTCATCAAAAAATAATAATTTTCAAACTCCATTTTTTAAAATAAATAATAATAAACTAAGACCGAGAAAGATTTTATTTTATTACCTCATTTGCAAAAAGAACTTCTTTTATCGGCTATTGACTCTGTAGATGCCAAATCGTCTAAAGGGGGATATATCGTATATTCAACTTGTTCAGTAACCGTTGAAGAAAATGAAGCTGTTGTAAACTATGCTTTAAAGAAACGACCAAATGTAAAATTAGTGCTAACCGGATTGGATTTTGGAAGAGAAGGATTTACAAAGTACGTAATTTGAATATTGAATTAAAAAAAATGGTTCTTTTTTTCATTATATAAACATTATATTTTATACTCGACTTAGTTATAGAGGCAAGGTTTTCCATCCTTCACTGAAATTAACAAGAAGATTCTATCCTCACGTTCATAATATGGATGGATTTTTTGTTTCAAAGTTTAAAAAATTTTCAAACAAGTATGAACTGAAAAGAAAGAATGATGATGAAGATCATAAAGGTATGATTAGATTAAATTTAAATATCTTGTTTCAAAATAATGTTTGCTAAAATATTTGTTTAAATATATTTTTAGTTTCAAAAACTAAAATCGATAAGTAATCAAGTGAGTTAATATTAATCAATCCATGGAAATTCGGTTTAATTCATAAGATTACTTTTGGATGTATTTTAAGCAATTTAACACTTTAAAATTACCAGTTTAGCTGGAAAAATAAAATTATTATTAATCAATAAATTATAACCAAATATCTTGTAATAGATAAATTCGCTAATTGATATTTGCTATTAATATTTATTTCTACTATATAATTAATTATTAATTTAAATCATTTAATAATATTAATACTAAAAGTATAATATTTTAATTTTTAAAAGTAATTTCATTAAATTTAAATTTTAATAGTGTATCATAATACTATCATAATGATTAAAATTTAGAAATGGTAAAATTTATGTTTAATTTTTTAATTTTATTTATTATTTTATCATTTATTTTATATTGCTATTTGCTATTTTGTGATTAATATATAGCGATAATAAATAATTTACAAATAAAAAATATTTTTAATATAAAAACCATTTATTTTTAATAAATAACTGAATTACTGAAAAAGTAATTAAATAATATAAAACTGGATTTTATTAAATTATACATTATCATCTTTACCAATATTTAAAAATCAAATATATTAAAAAATCAGATCAGACTAAATTAAAATAACTGACCTGATCCAATCTAGTCTTAAATTGGATCTGAAACAATTTTTTGTCTCCAACCTGAACCAATTCAAACCATTTAGCACTTTAAATATAAAACTTTTCAAAGAGATCTATATAATAAAGTTTACTATATAAAAAATTTTTTATTGAGATTTTTAGCTTAAAATAATTATTACTAAAGTTTACTAGTACTATTGGTAATTAATACTATTAATTTTAATTTAATTATTAAAATTACCTAAAATTTAAATATATAATAGTAATTACCTATTATTTATTATTATTAATTTATTTCAAATATTAATACTAATTATATACTTTGTTTATTTACTTATTTACAGTGCGCAAAAAAAATAATTATAATAATATTTTGTCTATTTGTGTAATAAATATTTATTGAAAATTCATAAAAATTTAAACATATATGCTTTATTACATTGCGAAAAAGTTTGACTATGCATAATTAATAATTTATCTTATTACCATTACCTTTAATTATTTGTTCTAATCTTGATGGCATACTTTTAATTAAATTAATAAAAATCTTCAGTTCAATTCTTTTTCACTCTTTTTGAATTATATCCTGGAAAATGTCTACAGTAATTGATTTTTTTTTTACCACTATAATGGTATATTATAAGGAGTGGAATAAAGGTTAAAGAGTGTAAAATTTTAGTTTTGTGCCATCGTAAATACTATTTTCCCATATCATTGTATAATATTGCGCAAAAATTCTATATGCCATTTTGCTATAGATAAAATATAATTCGTGATCCGCCAGTGAACCATAAAACTTGGCTATTAAATTCCGGTAAAAAGTTATATATATATTTACTAATAGCGCGGAATCTACAGTTTTGGCAATGCAAGGTACAAATTACTAAAATATAATATGAAAACTAATATTATAGCCATAAAAATATGCCATTTGGCTGTCTTAATAATAAAAGACCGGTAAAAATTTCATGCACCAAAAGACACTTTCATAAGAGCTGAAAATTTGAATTTGAAAAAAAAAAAATTTAGTATTTTAAAAATTTTAAAGATAACTCATCATCTAGTGGTCGTAGGAAAATAAAATTTGGTTCATCGGATTCGTCTCATCGAGACGCATCTAATGGTAATAATTTTATGTCTCTATGACTAATAGAAGGCGAGTTATCCCATATTTTTTCTCTGGAATCGCAGATTCTAAATTATTGATAAAAATATATATGAACTTATCACCGCCTTTTAATAGTCAAATTTTATGGTTCACTGGCAGATCACGAAATAACTATCGTAAATGAATATGTAAACAAAAAATGATCAGCATATAATTATATATTTACTGTGTAACTAGATAAAATTATTTGCCAAATGAATGTATATTGCAGGAATTATTAAACATATAATTTTTATTATAATTATTTTTTTCATACACTGTATGAATTTTAAGGTATAATTTAAATATTTTAATAAAATAAATCATTTATTATTAATACTTTTTAAATGAAATTATTTATTATTATATTAGTATTATATTTATTTTGATTTAAAATATTTTATAAATGTAGAAGAATCATTTAAGATTACTGATAATAATAGTAATTAGTCTTAATATATAACAAAAATACAAAGTATTATTTTATTTATTTAAAATAAAGTTTAAATGAACAACAGATTTTTTTTTTACTTTTTTAATCATAATTTTCTAATTTTATTAGCTAATTTTTCATTATTTTGTTATTTAAATTTATCAAGTAATATTTATTATCTTCCATATTAAAGCTCTGAACGATTTGGGTTAAACCAGAGAACTGATCTGAAACTGGCTTAAAATTCGGTTCAGTTTGGTTCAGGTATTAGAACCGAAAAACTGGCAGTTCAGTTCAGTTTAATTTGATTTTTTATAAAAATGCAAAAAATCGAATAGCCGTCCATCTAATGATCGTACAAAGTTAAGCCATATATCATTGGATTCGTCTCAATGAGACGCGTTGAATGGTGGTAAGATCATATCTCTAGTATCGATAGATCACGCACATGTTAACCCATGCTAAATAGTTTATAAATAATTGGAATTAGCAAGCTATCTATCAGTGCTAGAGACATGATCTTAGCATCATTCAACACGTCTCATCAAGACGAATCCAATAAATATAAATTTGTCTGTGTACAGCCACTGGATGGCGAATAATGTCAAGTTTTGCATTTTTTTAAAATTAAAAATTAAAAATTCCAATACATGAATTTATTCATCGTCTAATGGTTATACAAATATGAATTAGAACTCATTGGATTCGTCTCAATGAGATGAGTTGAATGGTAGTAAGATCACGTTTCTAGCATTGATAGATAGCTTGCTAATGCCAATTTTTTATAAATCATTTAGCATGAATTAACCTACGATCTATTAATGCTAGTGATATGATCTCACCACCATTTGACTTGTCTCATTGAGACAAATCCAATGAATCCTAATTCATATTTGTATGACCATTGGATGACAAATAAATTTATGTATCTGAATTTTTAATTTTTAATGCTCAAAAATTTTTAAAAAAATGCAAAACTTGACATTATTCGCTATCCAGTGATTGTACATGGACAAATTTATATTCATTGGATTTGTCTCACTGAGACGTGTTAAATAGTGCAAAGATCATGTCTCTAGCACTGATAGATAGCTTGCTAATTCCAATTATTTATAAACTATTTAGCGTGGATTAACGTGTGATCTATTGATACTAGAGATATGATCTTACCACCATTCGATACGTCTCATCAAGACGAATCCAATGATATATGGTTCACTTTGTATGATTACTAGATGGAAGGCTTTTTGATTTTTGCATTTTTATAAAAATCGGATTAAACTGAACTGAACTGCCGGTTTTTCAGTTCAGTTCTTACGGATTTCAGCTCTAATCCAAACCGTCTATAATCCAGACCAAATTAACCCATTCGGAGCTTTATTCCATATTATATTTATTTATATTAGTATTAATATTATTTAAAATATATATTTATTTTAAAAATAAAGTTAAACTGAATTTTTAAGTATATAAAAATTACTTAAAAAATAATATATACAAAAAAAAATGTTTTTATATATTGCAAATTATTATGATATATTAAAAAAATAGCATGCAAATTGCAAAATAAAAGAAGCTAATTGAACTATATGATATTTTTATCATTTAATTTATAGGTAAAAAATGATATTTAATTGCATTATATATAATTTTAATATGTATAATATAAGATTAACATTTTAACTGTTTTTTAAATAGTTACATAATTATAATTATATAAAAAATATAGAGTTGCAATTGTGAATTGCAAGTTGCACACATCTTTAATATAATATACAGTCAAACCTTGATATAGTGAACCTTTGATATAATAAATTTTTCAGACAATTATAATAAATTTCCTTTTGCTATAACGAATTAACCAATCAAATCTCTTAAAATCTTCACTATAGTTTTATAGTGAAGTTGAGGTCTAGACCCTAGGGTTCGTTATAACAAGGGTTAACTGTATATAATTTATATATTATATATTGCATAATTTTAAACTTATAATATACATGATTTTAAGCCTAATTCAGTCTAATCTGGATCAGTCTATTCAATGCAATTTAGGTTAAAGTTTAATCTGAAATTAGAATCAAATTACTATTAATCAAATTTTGAATAAGTAAATTTGGGACAAATTATATTCAAAATTTGGCTTAAATTGGCTAAATATTATACTAAATATTTATATTAAATGGTATAATTCAGACTGCTATTTATCTGAATTTCAGTTATTTTTTACATAATTTTTAGTAGAATTGGTTAATAAATTTTATATAATATTTAGTTGTTTTCTAATATTTGCATTATTATATTGTATTATAAATTTATATTATAGTATTTATTTAATTTTAAATATCAAAAAATTATATAAAAACTGAGAAAAATAAAAAATATATTTAAAAATTCCAATATTTTTCCAATCATCAAATGAAAGAGTAATACCAGCTTGCTCATGTATCTGATTTAACTTTTCTTTGTATAATTGTTCAATACTTTTAATAGCTTGATCTAATATTGGACCAGCTACAGTCAACTCCTTCTATAGTCACTCCTATTTATATAGTCATATTCTACTATATAGTCACACCAGTTGAATGTTCAAAACACTTTATTATTAAAATCTTTCCTATATAGTCACAATCTATCTATAGTCATTATCACATCTATCCTCAAAAATCTTATATTAAAAAGAACTCTTTATAATCACAGTCATATGAAGAATATATTAAATAACTTGACATCTAATAATCATACAAAGATGTACCATAACTTGTTAGAATCGTCTTACTGAGACGAATCGAATGGTGGTAGTTTTATCCTTTTACTTTACTAGTGTTTATGGCCAAGCCTCCTACTACCTCTTATAAGACTAGTTATCAGCTAGTATACTATCATTCCCAAGGGTACCCATTATACTGAGTACTTAATTCCTCAGGTAACAGCACTATATATGAGAACATCTCCCATCAGGCCACTTTTAAAGCTGATTTGAAGCTAGGAATATGCCGCTTACTCATCCTTAACCTATTGCATG